CCCCAAAACCCCAAAACCCCAAAACCCCAATAGTATATTTTATTATTGAAATCAATTCCAAATTAAAATAGACCCATAAGTTATACATAAATGTTAAGATCCAGAGGAGTGCCCTTATGAGGTCTTTATCTTTCTATAGACGAACGCCCTAGCTTTTTTCTAAAGTTTGCAGCCAAAAATACCTGAGATAGCTTGAAATTCTCCTTAAAACCTTATTTCTTGGCGATTGGTTCTAAAATTAGGGGAGGTCATACTAGTTGAATGTTCTTGGTAAACACCTTTCTCTTATTTAGCTTGTTTTCTTTGACTATGGGTAATTAGGTTCATTACCAAATGTTTTGTTTTGCAAAGTTTGGATACACTAAAAGTTGAGTACAAGAACTTACAGAAATTTGACAGAGTTTTGGATCCATTGATTTTGACTTTCGAGAAGCTTCAAACACATTTTTATTGTTCCTGAAAGGCTAATAGAGTTTATTTTGAAAAATACTTTTGGCTTTTGAACGAAGTTTCCATATTGTTGCCCAGCTTTTGTTTTCTTATAGACAGGTACAAATTTATCTAATGTTTAACAAATATCTTACTTCTTCGTTTAATATTAAGTTTCAGGTTGATCAGGCCTTTATTACATACCGAATCTGTGTTCCGGAGTGAATCAGAGTTAGAACGGTCTGATTTAAGTCAAAATTTAACCTCCTTCTCATCATCATCATCTAAAATAACCAAATTAACTCACCAGATTGAGATTCATCAGAGATTATGGGTGTATCTCTACCTATCTTCACATTTTTATTTAGAGTCATCTCTGATGAACATCTTGGCTTTCTGTGCGATGAACAAGGGATTTGTCAGAGAGACTTCAGGGTTATACATCTGACTAGAATTCCTCATTCTCTTTGTGGAATTTTGCATTTCAATTATATTAAGCCTAGAATTACAGCTAAAATCTTCCCTCTTGTTCATGGAATTATTTGTAGTTCAGACCTGAGGAATCCTAAATCCTGGTTAAAACGACAAAAACACAAATAAGGTAAATGCAGCAAATTTGGATGTGATTTAAACTTTGATCTAATTAGTACTAAAAACATCTGGCTTACATTCTTGCCAGCCTGATCTGCACTCTGGAAGATCCTACATATTAGAGGGTTAATTACTTATGATAATTGAAGTTAAATGAGGTCGCTTCCATTCTGAATTTACAGATTTTTCTCATTTTCTTAAGATATTCTGAATGCTGGGTTGATTTACCCAAAATCTTGAGGTCTACGGGGAACCCTAAACAGAGTAAGCTGAGCTAGCCCAATAATTAAACAGGTCCTTGAAAACCCGAAGTGTGAGAATTGTCTAAAATGTGAATTAATTACTATCTTGGCTATAATCCACTGAGCTTGAGGTCAAAAATTGTCTTGATCTGAAATTATTGTTCCTTGTGTTCCTCTTCTTATATCTATGCGATCAAAGTGAGATTTAGGGGAATTTTATCCTGTCAGAAGTGAAATTCACAAAGGTCCTCTATTGTTTCTGTTTTATTAACATTTCAAAAAAAGTAGCCTTGATTCTGCTTAAGTAAAGCAAGGATTATTCATAAAATTAGGTACAGAATTAAGTCTAAATGAAATTATTACATTTGCAGACTAGTAGATAATATGCAGGCATAAAAATAATTCGAGCCTGGATTTTGAGAGAACTAACGTTTATTAACAAGAAGTCCTAACAGTTTCATACTATAAATTATGAAGATCACTAGATTAAAATTATTTGCATCTAAATCCTTGCCCAGACTTTAAGAAATACAATGATTGTGTAAATTAGTGATAGCACTTTAGAGCATACCTTGAAAAAGAGGGATTTATGTCTGAGGTATTCTTCAAACTCTTCTTTTCATCATATTGAAGCATAATAACTTCTTGCCCTTCAAAATCTCTAAGAGGCTCTTCTGCCACCATCTTGGGGTAAATTCCGTTGAGCTTGCCAATTCCATTTTCTCTCTAAATAAAGTTTGTAATCCTTCTTAAAATGAATTTGCTTTATATTATTAAGCCTGAAAGGGATCATTTCTACTAATTTTTCTTGAGATTTTTATTAAAATTTACAAAAAATTAAATCAGTTTTAGACCCTTAGTCTCATAATTCATCTCTAGTACCAACTATGATCTTCTAGAACCAAAATTCTTGGTCTTAAGGTCCATCAGATTATTCCAAGATCGAGTTTTGGCCTGTTTTAATTAAGGCTCACCTTAAATTTTTTATAGATTATTGCTGACTTGGCCTTGCTGATCTGCTCTTTCATAATAGATTTCGATCGCAGCACCATCAGCTTAGGAGGATTGGACTCTTTACTAGGCTTGACTGGATTTTGGGAGAAGAAGCCATAACTTGTTGTGAATTTAGGATACGTGATGTTCTTGCCAGTAATGTTAAGGTCTTCTTCAGAATTTTCGAGCATTATCAATTTTTTATAATTATTTTGGGGTTTTGGGGTTTTGGGGTTTTGGGGTTTTGGGG